TCCTGCCTCAGCCTCCCGAGTAGCTGGGACTACAGGCGCCCGTCGCCACGCCCGGCTAATTTTTTGTATTTTTTTAGTAGAGACGGGGTTTCACCGTGTTAGCCAGGATGGTCTTGATCTCCTGACCTCGTGATCCGCCCGCCTCGGCCTCCCAAAGTGCTGGGATTACAGGCTTGAGCCACTGCGCCCGGCCTATTTTTTACTTTCTTCTCTTATCCCAAGAAGCTAACTAGTGTAGGAAGATACCAAAACAGGGCTTGGGCTTAAGGGGAGGGAGAGAACCCATTTAGAGCCTGAACTGTGTACTTTGGCCTATTAGCCAGAGATCTCTGTATTGGGATTTTAGGTGTATGGTTCTGGCTTAGTCAGCTAGGGATGCCATAACGAAATACCACAGACTTGGTGACTTAGACAATAGGAATTTGTTTCTCACAGTTCTGGAGGCTGGGATATCCAAGCTATCAAGGAGGCAGGTGATTTGGTTCCCTGGTGAGGGCTCTTTCCCTGTCTAGTGCAAAGCCACCTTCTCCCTGTTCCCTTACATGGGGCCTGGGGTGGGGTGGGGAGGAAGCAAGTTCTCTGCTGTTCTCTCAGAAGGGCACTAATCCCATTATGAGGGCCCCACTATCATGACATCATCTAAACTCTCATCACCTCTGCCAAAAGACAAAGTTACAACACATTTAGTTTAAAGATCAAATTGGCTTTTATTAGCAATTCACAAATAAGAGAGCATCTCATTTAACAATTTAGAAAAGGTACTCTGCTGGGCATGGCAGAACAGTTTATTTTTGTAAGGTGGGAACAAGGAAACAATGATTTAAAAAAATTTTAAATATACTTTTTAAAAAATAATAAAGACAGAGTTTCATGATGTTGCTCAGGCTGGTCTCGAACGCCTGGTCTTTTTTTTTTTTTTTTGCAACCTCTGCCTCCTGGGTTCAAGTGATTCTCCTGCCTCAGCCTCCTGAGTATCTGGGATTACAGGCATGTACCACCATGCCAGGCTAATTTTTGTATTTTTAGTAGAGATGGGGTTTCACCATGTTGGCCAGGCTGGTCTCGTGCTCCTGATGTCAAGTGATCCACCGGCTTGGGCTCCCAAAGTGCTGGGATTACAGACATGAGACACCACACCCAGCCAAGCACAGCTTTTGAAAAAGGTTTCATGGGTACAAAAAAGTTTGAAAACCATGCCCCAGTTGGATATTTTCCTTTTTTCCAAGTTAACATACATAGTGAATATTATAATTTGGAGAACAATAAATCATTTTACATCACTATTTAAGAGACTGCATTAATTTTATTATTTGTTAAAACTATAACATTACATATACTACGTAAATTAAAACTACTACATCACATACCACTAGCATTATAATAACTATATAAAATGACAGTTTAAAGTACTTTAAAATGTTCTAAAATACATCAGAAGAAAGAAAAACTCTTGGTTGTAAACTTGGAGTTTAGTAAATTTAACCTTATTGGATTAGTCAGTTAAGTAATTATAGAAATGGATTTGTTCCAGAAAAAAATGCTACTCCTCTGTATTTTATGGACCAGAAAGCAATGTTAATATTTAAGTTCTTGCTAACATTTTTGTTCCTTTTGGGTTCTGGTATTGGAATACTGTATTGATTTATCCCACATTACTTTTGGTTTTCTGATATTTTCTTCACCTGCTTTCTGTAGTGGCTCCCTAAAATCACATTTTGAGAACTCATCATCAACTATGTTATAATAAAGT